TATTTTCCTCTCAGTTTTGTTGGGAACTTAAAATTGCTTTAGAAAACTAAAGTTTTTGCATGAAATATTTTTTCCTCAGAGAGAACCCAGTAAGCCACTAACCCCATTGGCTGAGATAAATGAATTTATTGGACTGAATCAATGAACACCTCTTTAGGAACCTAAGGTTCACCAAGCTCTGTTCTGGGTGTTAAGAGACATTTCGATGAATAAGGCACATTGCCCTTAGGCCCACAGTCTAGAAGGAAGACACAGGCACCTCACCAATTTTAACAAAGTCCTAGAAGTAGTGTGGAGGGAACAATTTGGAAAGGGAGCTCAACAGAGAAGGTGACACTTAGTTGGGTTTTGAGAAGTAAGAAAGAATAAGCAGAAGGAGCGATATAGGGAGTGCAAGAAGAAAGAAGTCTTTCACCCAAGTGGAAGAGTGTGATGGCGAGGGAGACAGAAGGAATCTTTATGATGTATTGCGGGGATTACTAATATTCCAGTGTGACTGGAGCCAAGATTATGTGAGCTAGACAGGAAAGGTCAGGGATAGGGAGCCAAGGACCAACAGTGACCATAATTGTTTTGGTATAATAATAGCTATGTTGGTACATGTCTTTGTGATTTGTTGGAAGAGCTCTGTAAGAATAGATTGGAAGGCCAAGTGTGGTGGCTCACGCCTGTAATCCCAACACTTGAGAGGCCTGGGTGGGAGGATGGCTTGAGTCCAGGAGTTCAAGACCAGCATACATGGTGAGACCTTGTCTCTACTTAAAAAAAAAAAATTAGACTGATGCCCTTTATGGCCTCAGCCCACATGCACCCAGGTGAAATGAAAAAAAAAAAAAGGGCCGGGCACGGTGGCTCAAGCCTGTAATCCCAGCACTTTGGGAGGCCGAGGCGGGTAGATCACGAGGTCAAGAGATCGAGACCATCCTGGTCAACATGGTGAAACCCCGTCTGTACTAAAAAAAAATACAAAAAATTAGCTGGGCATGGTGGCATGTGCCTGTAATCCCAGC